GTGAGCCAAAAAGTCGAGTTTGAGCCGATGGAGGGAAACCCGTTTGCCCGATCGCAAAGACAAAAGGAAATGCTCTGTGCTGTTCGAGTGAAAAGCGTTCGAGTGCGACTTTTCGAGTGCTTTGTGTTTGCTCCATAAGCTAAATCGGTTTTCGTTTTTCCGTTCGGGTTCTTCGGCTGATCGCTGGAATCGCAATTCGCTTGGAAATTTAATGAAAGCCTTGGCCGCAGAAGAAGATCTCCCGCAACGCCTTCACTTTTGATTTTTCCTAGCAAATTGCGGCCTGCAAGCAGCTGTTGCAGTTTGTGGAAATCAGCATAAAACCTCCTACATTTCACTTCACTGTCAACACGATTCATTTGCCGTTTGGTTTGGTTCGCCGAGAGGCAGGCCGTTCATTTGATCAATCGTTCAGTTGCTCAAGTGTTCAGTTGCCCAGTTCCCATTCAAATGGGATTTTCACTTTTCATATGCCAAAAATCTCTGTCCGCGACCTGCTGAACTTTTACCGGGCTGCGGGAAAAAGAAAAACCCCCTCAGGCTCAGGCACTAGGAAAACTGATATGGGTCAGGTACAGGTACAACATCATTCCATTATTTGAATGTCCGACATGGGCTACCGTTGCCTTGGACCCAGTCCAAGGCTTGCAGGCCCGTAAGACCAGGAATCCTGGCCTGTAGCCCCTTGTTATTTAGTATTTACCCATTCCGTTGTCGTCGTCGGATGTCAATGTTGGCTGTCAGTTTTGCGCTGCCGCCTGACAGGCCAACAAGCCAACGCTGGAGCCATAGGAAACCGGCTAACTGGACATCTGAGATGATCTCGGGAACATCACCTACATCGCTCACTGACCACCAGTCCGCAATCCGCAGACTGTGCCAATTTCCAGCGGCCGGCCGGCCACACACTCCATTAATCACGGCCAGCCGAATTGGACAATGGAGTGGAGTTGGGAACTCTGAGCTCCGAATGGAGATCTTCACAAATCATAACCGCAGAGTTTTGCCAACGTACTGACACATTTTCGTTTGGCGTTCGGTAATTACGGTTGGGAAGTGGCTATAAATTAACCTTAATTGAATGCATTTGACAGAGTAGTTTACTGGTGGGAGTCTCGGGCAATGAACTGGAGCATCACTAGCTCGGCAGCCTCTAATAAGCCCAATTAGAGCCAGAGAGCTCAGCCCTTTTTGGCTATCATCATTAGCCCATTTCTCTGGGTTCTGGGCCTTTGTTTTCCCGCCCAGAAAGTGAATCTGCCGGGCCAAAACTTCACTTTCCATGGCTGCCAATCCAAGAGTCTTCGGCGGCTTCTTTGTAGGCCCTGCACAAATTACTTCGATTTAATAACAACAGTCGTTGTCCGACCATTTCAATTTTTACTAGGTGTTTATGGGCAGTCGTGACACAATGGATTTGACCCCACTGGGAAATGAACCACGGGCGCAGCCTTTTGACATTTGAGTTTTGAGTCAAGTGGACTATTCGGAGGCTCTTTTTTTCTGTTATGGGGCTGGGTCAGGGAAAGCCAGTCGATTTGGGCAATCAATCGATTGCTTTCCTTGGCTAATGAAAACCGCAGCTCCTTATGAGTTTTCGGGTGTCCTAGTCTATCCCCTTGTCACTTTCTTTTGCAATCACAGGATGGAATTCCGCAGCCCGCGAACGCCGTATGCTAATTTGGTTAGAAAGTAAGTGCACATGGCGCATATCTAATTGTCCCCCACCTTCGGCCGAAGAAGAAGATCCCGAACAAGTGAAACTGCCCAAATATGGCAACTGCAACTGCATAAACTGCAAGTCAAATGCGAGTGAAGTCACTTTGACGGGGGATTGAGAGATGGAGAAGGGGCTTATGGTTTCCCGACCATAAAGCACGCAAATGTGTTGGACTCGGCCGCCTTTGTTGGCCAATTGCCCATATATAAATAAAATACCGCAGTGAGTCTGCCGTCCGAGTGTCCAGCATAAATTTGTGTAAATCTTTTTCGGCGACTTTTGTGGGCCAACCAACTGCCCCGGCGAAGTGGCCTCCAATTGTGCCCGCTTTAAGCAAATTAGTTGCATATATGACTGCCACTATGACTGTGTTCTTCTTCCAGGCCGAGCCGATGGCCAAGTAGAGCGGCCAGAAACCAAAAAATATTGGCCACCGGCCACCTTTCACTGCTTTTCAAATGTCGCGCCATTGTTGCCGCTGCGGCATTGTTTGATAAAAGTGAAGATAGCACTGGGATTGAGAGAAAACATTCGGAGACACGGTGTAAACAGCATTCATATCTCCGCCTGATCTAGTTTGAGCGATCGGACAAGCGGCAAATAAACAGCGGCGATCTTTATCGACGACAGGAGGCCGACCTGTACAGTGCACACCAGACTGGCCAACCATTGACCCATTGTCCCTGCCTTGCCTGACCAATTCAATTGAGCAGGTGGAACCACTGGGAGAAAGAAATGGGTTGAAAATTTATAAAGATATTATCGAAAATACTCCACTCTTCAAACTTCACAGAAGTTAGGTAACTTTTACATAGAAGTACCCTCAAAAGACTAAAATTCAGTCTTTTAGTTGGGGTTGCAAAAACTTGTAAAACTATTATTAGTCCATTTTTGCTCTGATTGGTATTCAAAGCTTCATTTTTTATTCCCCGTTATGGTACAGTACAATTACCATGTAATCCGAAAATTACTCATTGATAAAAAGATAATTTCATGTTTATGAAGTCGTCCGAGCAAAGACCGTAAGAATTCGTTAAAATAACCCTCGAACTACAATCAGACGAGATAACTGAAATATCACGAATACCAGATTTACCTTAACCCATCCGCATCTTTGCTTTGATTGGGGCATCGAGTTCTTCCACACGCATTTCCCAATTCCGATTCCCAATTTCAGTTCCCAATTCCCAATTCCCGACTCCCAGCTTCTTGTTAGCGGACGATTATCGCCGCTGCTCCGAAACCTGCAATCATAACCGGGCCTAATTAATACGTGTGCCCTGGGCATCTCACACCCAGAGCCACACCCCCAAAACGGAATACTGAACTGAAACCGATGCAGATATACACATTGTGGGCCATATGCTAATTAGACGTACTCGCAGCCACTTAGCAACCGGAGATACATATCTCGTTCGGCTAATTGCTGGTCAGTGGCCACATGCATTTGTGGGTTAACAGGTGACGTGGGGCCTCAAACCCGAACTGAAAACCCAAACGGGAAGGCGGAAACCGAAACAGAATTTTCCCTATGACCGCCGGGTGCCACGCCCCCTTCCGAAAGAGCGGTATTTTAAAGAACAAACGAATAATTAGCATAAAGACATGATTGCACTAATTGTTTGGCATGGGAAATGCGAGGCACAAAGTGTGGGAAATGCAAGCGATCCTTCATTAGATGTCTCATTACTGGGGAGCAGCAAGATTTTGGCTAATTTGGGCAGGCGGCTCCATAAATTATGCAATCTGAGTGAACAAACTGCACCGGGTACAGCGCTTTCGAGCGGCTCTTTGAAGGCGCCGCCTGGGATTCTCACATTTGTCAACGGATCTGCAGGAATTTCCAGGTTCCCGGCAGCGGACAACCGTGTTTCAGTACTCCATTCAAATGGGGGATAAATGCCTCCTCGGGGATTAACTTGTGACGGAGGAGGCGGTGGACTGGCTCTTGGACTCTAGTTGCTGACCCGGCGTTTGCCTGATAAATTTCTTAATTTTAGGGATTGGGTTTTCGCCTAATTCCTGCTTGTTTATGGCCAGACCAACGAAACTTCCATTTAAGTCTCCTGGTCTCTTGGTTTCCTGATTTGATCTATGAGCGTGTCCGCAGTTGCCACTTGCCGGGCTGCCAGCACATAAATTCCCAATCTTTCATCGATTCTCCACGGCAGCAGAGAATCTACAGCTGCTGCCGAGGATCACAGATCACTGATCATTTCAGTTGGGAGATACAAGTGGAAGTGGAAATGGAGCCGTGTTCATTTGCACACTGGCATTTTCACAGATTTATCATCTTAGCCTATCCAACTGAAAAAGGAAAACTGAATTTATTAATATGCCAGCTTGGGAAGTGTGAGGTAGGCACTGAAAACATGAAAACCAGTCCCAAGGCCAGAAATTTATGGCTGCGCTGGGCGGGAAAAGGCTTACGCACATTGCCGTTAGCCCAATTCACTTTTCCCGCTTAGGAACAGCTGAGGGGCATGCCTAATTGGATGGATCTGGGATCTTTGGCCGGGGAGCACTCGGATTCAGATAAGTTGTTGACTTATCGCGTGCCAAGATGCCATCGCCATCAGTTGTGCTTAGGAGTGGTTTAGAGGCTTAGAGGTTTCGAGGTTTAGAGCGATGCAGATGGAGATGGGGATGGGGATGGGGACACGGGCTGCCTGGGCAAATAAATTGCCAGCTGCCGGAGGCGGCGGAGATCCGATCCGAAGCGATCCTCTCCTTGGCATGCAAATGGCGATCAAGATCGCGATGTTTGCGTGGCCTGTTATGAGTCAATCAGACGCCTGCCTACATTGTCACCATCACTTGGTAAGGATAGGATCTCTGGCTAGATGGCTGGATGGCTGGATCTCTTCCTTGGCTGCCTGCAGCGCCGATGGAAGATGGCTAGATGGGCGCTGGAGATTGTCGCGATTGCATCATAAAATTTAACTGCCCCGCCAGCCAATTCCAGGTCCGAGAGGCTCCAAGTCAAAGTCATTGCATAAATTGGCAGCACTGCTGCGCTGCAGGAGCTGCTGCTGTTTCTATCGATGGGAGGTGGGAGATGGGAGATGGGCCATGGATGTGTGCCTCTTGATGGTGCTTATAAGGCGCCGCTTAGGCAAAAAGGGGCAGCACCAAATGCTGCTCCATTCAGCTGTCCACTTGGCCGAGATGTTTATGAGTTGACGAGGACAGGGACAGGGAGCCGGCCCTACCGGTGGGTCCTTCTCTCATAATTCCCATTCTCATAATTCCCCCCTGGACACACTATGCATATGTGCTGCAAGGATAGTTTACTTTAGTGGTCGGAAAGACATGAAAGAAGGCCGCCTGGCTTTAGTTCTTTGAGGGGCGCCAAAGCTGCATATCCGCAGAGACCTTCTTCACCAGCGGAGCAATCTCCTTGAAGGATTTGTTATCCTTGTCCCCCAGTAGATTGAATATCACACTCTCGGAAGTCGAGATGGTGCAACCTATATGACGCAGGCGCTCTAAGGCCAAATCCCGATCCTGATTGAGGCGCGAGACACAGCAGTCGGCCACCAACCAGACATCGATCTCTTCGTTTACCAGGTCAAAGGCCGTCTGCTCTATGCACACGTGGGTCTAAGAAATGAGAATTAATACTTTTTACCAACTTAATGGATAACCCAACATAAGACTCACCTCAAGGCCAAAAAGCACCGCTGTCTTGGGCTTGCCCCCAAAGATATCAGTCATTTTCTTTCGCACAGGCTCCACCAGCATGGAAAACTTGGTCTTTGGAACATTCGCACAGGCATGTTTCACATCCAACTCGCACACGGTGTTGCCCAGCTTCTCGGGATACTGCTCGGTGACCACCAGAGGCACTTGGAAGACCTTGCCGGCTGCCAGCTGGAATGCGAATCCATTAGAAGTCGCCTATTATCCTGTCAATTTTAGCTGCCTCACCAGTTTTGCAGTGTTTTCGATGAGGGAACCCAGCAGCGGTATTGCCGGTTTGAACTTTTCCTGGACATCACACAGCATGAACAGGGTTTTCGAGGGCACCAGGCGGTAGAGCGCTGATCCACTTACTTTGCTCATGATTGATTCTAGGTGTCTATAACTATGGAACTGTTTTATGTATGAAAAACTGACTAAACGCCTGCTCAGTTTGAATTTTCGCTCGGCTGGCGCCCTCTGGCTTCTGGTGGCGGAAGCTAAAGTTCACCACAGCTGTGAGTTACGATTTCAAAAAATAGCTACAAAATAGCTAAAAATCGCTATATAAACAAGCCCCCTTTTGGTTTTGTTACTAAAAAAAGAGAATACCACACTTGCCGCATCTTACAAATCAAAAATTATAAATAAATCGAGTTGGAAAAACGTGCGCGTGGCCGATGCGATAACAGCGATCCCCGTTTCCCGAATTTCCGAGTCCCGGAACCTGAAAATCCCACCTGGATTTGGGTGTCACATAGGGTGGGTGAGGTTAACTTGCGGCAACCACCAGTTGCTACCCTTAGCAGCCTTATAAACGGCGATGGTGGAGCTGCCCCCCGTCGATCCAATCCTCCCAGCGCATTCCATCGGCCGATCTGATTTATTGGCACAGGACCAGCGGAAAAGTCGCTGTCACGGTGCGGCCCAACTAATTGCAGTCGCATTAATTAGGCACCTCAAAATTGCCCAATAACCAACGACCGGCCGACAGATAAGCACACGATTAATTTCTAGCCGCGCAACACTTGTCAACAAGCGAATCAGGGAGACCTCATAAAGGCAAAAGTGTTTATCAGTTGGGGAAAAGGCGGCGGCAGAGGCAGCGGCAGCCGCGGAGGAAAAGCAGCGACAGCCGATCTTGTCAACTTGAATTAATCGTCGATGTAGCAGCCGATGCCTCCGCCCGCCACGCCCCCTCTGCCAAGTACACTGAAGAAAATAGTTGTTTCCAAAGAGAGCGATACATAGAATCGCTTGATCACAAAAAATCTATTTCAACTAATTCAACTTCATCTAACTGAATTAAAGAATAGACTTAGCATAAAATGTAAGATCTCCATTTTAATTTCAACTTGAATTGGATAACTATTTTTTCAACTTATATATGAATTAGAGTTGCAATAAGTCAATTTATTTTTAGTAATTTGTATATCTTTTGTTAGAAGCAAACTTCAATTTTGTTAGGAGTTCAGAAATGTAGACTTTTAGTATACAATAGATAGTTAAAAAATAAAGACCATATTCAATTCAATTCATAATATTCCTGAAACTTTTTTCCCATTTTGTTTAATGTTCTTTAACCCTGATATTTAACTAATATTAACGAACTCTTAGAATGTTTATAACCACATTTTTCCGTGCACCGCCTGCTCTTCCGGCGTCGTTCTCGGCACCTTCGCTCGTGGCGCTCGGCTGCAAAAAAACTCTTCCGATGCCCCAAAACCGCGTTGCCTGTTCAGTTGCTCAGTGATCCATTCGCATTCGCCTCTCAGACGTCGCCAGAAAGCGTTGAAAGCTCCGAAACCCAAACTGAAAACGAGACCCCAGCGATCGCCTTTGATTAATAACTGATAAATTGCCAGCGATTCGCGGCTGTGCTCCATTGGCAGCCCAAAGTGTGGGTTGTCCGTGCCCTGCCTTTCCCCACAAATGTATCACCTATTAATTGAACATTTTTCCTTTCAGTTACAGTACAAACCCCGGAAAGATGAGCCTGCAGTCGATCAAATACTCGCGGGGCAGCCTGGAGATCCTTGACCAGCTGCTGCTGCCCGGTCAGTCCAAATACCTGGTGGTGCGGGGCGTGGAGGATGGCTGGAAGGTCATCAACAAGATGCAGGTGAGCATCCTTCCCACCTATGTAACCCTTAATAGCCCCCATCCACGTACCCCGGCAGAATGCCATTAAAATTCTTATTGGTACATTTCTTAATCTGCGCAATGATCGCTCGCTTGTCGGCTGTCGGTTGTCGCTTGTCGGCTTTCCCTTGCCCGACTATAAATAACATAATTGAAATTAAAAATTCTAAAACGCTTGCCAAAAATAAAACTACTCCTTGCGCGTCACTCGGCGATCGGCTCTTACTGGGCTAATGCCCCCAGAGGATGATGGTGATGATGGCCCATTGGTGGCAGATCGCTTGGTCTTTAGCCAAGAAGCACGCGCCTCATCACGTGGAGCCCCGGAATTATACCATGTAAACTGTTTACTCCGGCCTTTTGCATCGTCACCTAATAAGCCAAGATAGGCCAGCCAACCTAATCTCGGTGCTCTGTGCTCTTGTTTCTATATAATGAGAATGTAGTACCCAAATTATTCCCCCAGTGGCCGCGTTGCTGACATGACAACAACATGACAATCTGCATTTTCTAAATGTTTTCTGTTTACATCTTGATTGTGTGTTTAGAAAACATTTAAATGTCTAAATTGATCAAGATGATTTGATGAAGATGTCTTAATTATATCAATGGGTCTTATAATTGTATTTCCCTGGTTTTAGCCAGTTATTAATATGTCTAATATTGAAAACCATTTATTTTCTTTTCATGACTAACATTAAACCAGGAAATTAACTTTAATTTCAACCAATTAAAATAACATTTTTAAACTGATTATGAACTACTCCTTTATATAGGTCCGTGGTGCTCCCGCCATCGCTATCGTGGGCTGCCTCTCCCTGGCCGTCGAACTCAACCCGGAGGAGTTTGGCAGCAAGAAATCTCTGCGCCAGGAGATCGAGGGCAAGCTGAACTACCTCGTTTCCTCCCGGCCCACGGCAGTCAACATGAAAATCGCCGCCGACGAGCTGATCAGCCTGGCCAACGATCTCTACAATGACGAGGCCATGGACGTGGCCGAAATGAAGCAAAGGTAATAATCCATATCCAAAGCCTTACCAAACCAATCTAATCTCAGTTTTATTACAGATTCCTTAATGCCACCGAGGCGATGCTGAAGAAAGACATTGCCGATAACCGGGCCATTGGAGCACATGGCGCCAAGGCGATTCTGCAGGGCGTTGCAGAGGGAAGTGGAGCTCCGGCGGGATCCTCGGGTTCTGTCAGGGTGCTCACCCATTGCAACACGGGTTCCCTGGCCACCGCCGGATACGGAACGGCGCTGGGAGTGGTCCGGCAGCTGGCCGAGCTGGGAAAGCTGGGTGAGCACTAAATGGAGATTAGCTAAATAAATGATTTATATTAATGGCACTTCCCTATTCCAGAGCACGTATACTGCACAGAGACCCGTCCTTACAACCAGGGAGCACGCCTCACAGCCTACGAACTGGTCCACGAGAAATTCCCCGCCACCCTAGTTCTGGACAGCATGGTGGCTGCTCTTCTGCGGGCCAAGAATGTGGCTGCTGTGGTGGTGGGAGCAGATCGGGTGAGTAAACTGTAGGATCTGTAAATAAAGTCTCACGATTTGGTTGGGTTGAAAGTGAAGGCATTGCATAGACATTTGGTGTCCCAGCCCCAATGAATTTGTAATTTATTATATTCATCTTGAGTCAAAGGCTGCCACTTACCAGGTTTCACAATTGTCTAGAATCACTTAAAACAAAGTGTTTGTTAAATTTTGATTGCTAAATTTCTTATTGCTAACATATTTTTAAATACTTTTAGAACTGTTTAAAAAAAAACTTTAATCATATGTTGTGAACCTAGAGCATTTTCCAACATTCCTATTTAAAAATCCAAGAAGCATTTATTAATTTTGTGTCTTTCCAACCAGGTGGCGTCCAACGGCGACACGGCGAACAAGATTGGCACCTACCAGATCGCCGTGGTGGCCAAGCACCATGGTGTGCCCTTCTACGTGGCCGCCCCGCTGACCTCCATCGACCTGGCGATTCCCGGAGGCGACCACATCATCATTGAGGAGCGGCCAGACCGGGAAATGACCCACGTGGGAGAGCACCGGATCGCTGCGCCGGGCATCAACTGCTGGAACCCCGCCTTCGATGTGACCCCTGCCACCCTGATCACCGGCATCATCACGGAACGCGGCGTCTTCAAGCCGGCGGAACTGAAAGAGGCTATCTCCAAGCTGCTCCAGTCATAACAGGGGCGCAGGAATTGTTGTTTACGAATGCACTCCATACCCTTAGCCCCTAAAAACAGAATCAGATTCAGAACAGAAACAGAAACCGCAAAAAACAAGAGCACTCACGCGCGCTCGGAATAGGCATTTTGCCAGCTGAGCTTTGTATACAAACGTGTTCCCTTCCGCTCCCTCCCGCCTGCCAAGCAGATGTGGGTCGATCCGCTGGGGAGCACAACGCACAATATACCTCCTACATATGTAGCCCCATTCGCCAGTTGTTGCCCTATTGCGGCATTGTTTCCGCTGACTTTAAAACTGCTTGGGAGCCGGGTGTGCTCCACCAGAAGGTGCTGGATGAGCTATGGAACCGATGACATGGCTGGTGCTGCTCTTGGTGGGCCTGAGCCAGTGCTGGGCCAACAACAGTGGGCTGAACGTGCAAAACAACTACCGAAACATGATGGTGCGACTGGCTACCAATAAGACCACCCTCGCCGGGATTCAAGTCCTCCGCGAGGGGCGCGTGGAGGTGAGCTTCGACTTTGGCGCCACGTGGGGCTCCATCTGCAGCACAACTTGGAGCATGCGGGAGGCGAATGTGGTGTGCCGGCAGCTGGGACTGGGCTATGCCTCGAAGGCGGGCCAGGGCACGGAGCACGGGGACAGCCGCAGGTATCCGTGGGGCATGGTGGGCACCCTGTGTCGGGGAACCGAGCGCCGTCTGGCCGAGTGCATCCGAGAATCGCACTATCCCAACCTCTGCAATGCCAGGAATCAAAATGTCAGTACGGTGGCCTGTGTGAGCCACTCGGCTGATCTGGAGATCGGGCTGGCGGACATCGAGAGGACCGCCCGACTGGAGGCGGTGCCCATGTCGAGGCTTACCTGCGCCATGGAGGAGCACTGCGTGTCCGCCGACGCCTATGAGATACGGCGAACGAACCCGCACGCCGCCAGGATCCTGCTACGCTTCTCCGTGAAGGCTTCCAATGTGGGCACGGCCGATGTGAGTCCGTACGCCAACTACAAGGACTGGGTGTGGCACCAGTGCCACAGGCACTACCACAGCATGAACGTATTTGCCACCTTCGATGTTTACGACCTGAAATACCGGAAGGTGGCGCAGGGACACAAGGCCTCCTTCTGCCTGATGGACACGGATTGCACGCCAGGAGTACGGGCCAAGTACACCTGCGGCAACACCACCCAGGGTAAGCTAAGATCTACTGGGAAGTCCAAGTAAGAACCATTGTAACCAATATCCTTACAGGCATCTCCGTGGGCTGTGCAGACACCTACACGGATGTACTGGATTGCCAGTGGGTGGATGTGACCCGAGTGCCCGTCAACCGGCGCTACATCCTGCGGGTGGCCCTCAATCCCGAGTACAAGCTGGGCGAGATTTCCTTCGAGAACAATGGAGCCGAGTGTCTGCTTGATTACACGGGCGTGCACCAAACGACCAAGATTTTCAACTGTCGGCGCAAGCCACTGTGGTTTAAGATATGATTTTGTCTAGGTTTTAAGATAGCTTTAAAAGGGTGTGGTGTATAGGTCTTAAAATAAATAAGTTAAAGTATTTCTGTTATTCGGAAACGAAAAAACTCATTTTGAATGTTGTTCAGGGGCAGCCTAAAAGTAGGCCGTGAATTACATTTCTGTAGCATCTTTTCGCTCCAAAATATTGCATACTTTTGGGCTGCTGGCATTTATTCCAAGCTGATCCTCACACATACAAAGTTTGGAAATCGGCGAATATAATCATGATCCCAAAACCAGGTAAATCGCCGACTGACGTGGACTCATACAGGCCTATTAGTCTTCTACCATCCTTGGGAAAATCATGGAAAGGCTGATCCTGAACAGGCTACTCACTTACGAGAATGTCACCAGTGCGATTCCGGAATTCCAGTTTGGCTTTCGTCTTCAACACGGAACTCCTGAGCAATTACACAGAGTTGTTAACTTTGTTTTAGAAGCCTTGGAGAAGAAGGAGTATGCAGTTGCTGCCTTCCTTGACATCCAGCAGGCTTTTGACAGAGTGTGGCACCCTGGGCTCCTGTACAAAGCCAAAAGAATTTTACGCCACAGCTATTCCAGCTCGTGAAAAGCTTCCTGGAAGAACGCACTTTCCACGTCTCTGCCGATGGGTACAAGTCGTCCACCAAACCGATCTCTGCCGGAGTTCCCCAAGGTAGCGTCCTCGGCCCTACTCTTTACTCAATTTATGCTTCAGATATGCCTACACAAACTCCAATCACTGAAGTTGAGGAACAAGACGTGCTAATTGCGACCTACGCCGACGACACTGCTGTCCTGACAAAAAGCAAAAGTATCTTGGCTGCCACATTTGCATTGCAAGAGTATCTGGACGCATTTCACCAATGGGCCATGAACTGGAACATTCGAGTAAACGCGGACAAATGTGCCAATGTAACGTTCACCAACCGCCGAAGTAGCTGCCCTGGAGTCAGCCTCAACGAAAGTCCAATCAGAGCCCTTCCTGCATACAAGTACCTCGGTGTCACTTTGGACAAAAAACTCACTTTTGGCAGGCACATTACGTGTATCCAACACTCCTTCAGGACCAAAGTTGCTCGGATGGCTTGGCTTCTCGCACCACGCAACAAGCTCGCACTTGGCTGTAAGGTTCAAATCTATAAGTCCATACTAGCGCCCAGTCTTTTCTATGGACTCCAGGTTTACGGCATCGCTGCAAAAACCAACCTCAACAAAATCCGGGTTTTGCAAGCGAAAACACTTCGAACCATCTCTGGAGCTCCGTGGTTTATGCGAACCAGAGACATCGAACGGGATCTCAATGTGCCCAAACTTGGAGACAAGCTGCAGGAACTTTCTCGAAAATATATGGAAAGGCTAAACGAGCACCCCAACAGCCTAGCCAGAAAACTTGGTACCGCTGCTATAAACAGCGCTGAACCAAGCAACCGAGTCAAAAGAAGACTAAAAAGACACCACCCTCAAGACCTACCGGACCGGATTTTGACCTAGCAACATCACCACCCTCAATATTAATATCAAATAACTAAAAATAACGAAATTATTTCTTGCCTTAAGGAACCCTTAGACTAAGTATTGTATCTATTTTTGAAAAAACAGATTAGATTAAGCTGCCAGTCGGGTAGCAGTGTGCTAATCCTAAGAATAAAATTTCCACATTAATAAAAGTAAAAAAAAAAAAAAAAAAAAAAAAAAAACACATACAAAGAAGAGAAAACATTGCCTACATTTCGGGGCTCCTGAGTTCCAAAATTTCAGCATCCGCCTTCTACAATTTCTGTTCGCCTGGTACTTGGACTGGGAAAATCTTGCGAATTGACGGACAAATTGACCACAACTTGTATCAATATGGGATCAGAAAACCGAATTTCATGTTTTGCAATACCAGGCGAACATAATCGGTAGCAAGTGTCTGCTGATAACTCTGACTTAACTCAAATAATGGTTATTTTCAAAGATGGCGGACAACTGTGCTAGAGATGGGCGAGGTGATCCTCACACATACATACATATTAAAAGTTTCAGATTTCGCATCCACCTACTGATATTTCTGTTCCCCTGGTACTTGGACTGGGAAAATCTCGCAATTCGACAGACAAATTGACCACACCGGTATCAATTTTGGATCAGAAAACCAAATTTCATGATTTTAGACACCAGGCGAACAGAATCGGTAGCAGGTGTCTGCTGATAACTCTGAATTAACTCATATAACGGTTCTTTTTCAAGATGGCCGACAGCTGTTAATGTGCTAGAGATGGGCAACCACGCTGTTCTTTTGTGTGTGTCACGAGTTTTCACGATAGCCAAGACCCGCGTTGCCAACCATCGACGGCCCAAAAGTATGCCACACTTTGGCAACCAAAGTCAGCCCAAGAGTATGCTACAAAAATATGAAACAAAAAGGCGCCATTTTTAAAATCAATTTTCTTATTTTAGAGAACATTTAAAACCCATTTATCCAAGGAAGTAATCAATCGTATAATTTCCGACAATTCCCCACCCATACCCAAAAATAAAACACAAGCCGACGTGGTAGTTAAATACGTTTATTGTTTTTGAATGTTCATCTCTTGACTCTGCGTTTGTGTTTTGCATTTTGTATCATTATCATTTCGCTTACAGAATAGATTTATTTATGTATGTATATCTGGTATTTACGATGCTCTATAAATATGCCTTTAATTGCTAGAGATAAATATTTCGGCGCTTGCTCAGTTTGGTTTACTTTATGTAGTTGTGGTGCTGAATTGGATTCGGGGCTGATGGCGTTTGTCTGCTGCTGTTGCTCTGAATGCGGGTTGGTTGCTTGTTGTTTGTGCTGGTAGTAGTTGTTCAATCTATGCCTTACAATTTACTAGTTGTGCCTAAATCAAGTGAATTGGAACTAAGACTCGCTGCCAATGCCAACAAGTTCAATAATCATAATCAATTTTCCATATTAACATAATAAATTCTCCAATTGGTTTTCCATTGTTTTCGTTTTTTTCTTTGCTGCTAATTACAAAATGCCTACGCTACGTTTACACAAAACTTAGACACTAGCTGACATCGATATCTCAATGAATTAGCATTAGTTAGCATTACTTGCTGTTCAATTTATTGCATGACGAAACAAATATCAGTAATAACGTTCTCCCGCGGGAACCTGCGGCCATCGGGCCAACTTAAACTTAGGCAACAGAAAAGAGTCAAAGAACAATATGAAAGCTTAGCAAAGGTGTGCGGCAATAAAACTTAGGAGTCGTATAAATAATCATAGGTTTTAAAATTTACAATCTGTTTAGGTTGTACGCTCGTATCGTAACTATGTATCTATGTATCTATGCATGTACAATATAGTAGTAGCATGTGTTAAGTATTTGTTAAAAATGCATTCAAGTTTTCGAGTATTCATGTCATTTTCTTAACTTACAAATGCTAACTAGAACATCTATCTTCCAACGCGGTCCCGTTGAGCACAAACTACTATACAAAAATTACACATTACTCTGCTGGCGTTGCCTCTACTCTGCCGTCTACATAGTACTGCTCCCGCTCCTGCTCCTCCTCGTTCTCCTGCTGTTGTCCTGCCTCCGGCGACGCATGTCATAGATGATCAATTAGATATTAAATAGCGCTCGTATTTAAGTAACATTATTCTTGGGTGCTGTGACAAACTGACGGCCTTATAGTGAGTGGTATTCATGCTACCACGGTTTCAATTAATTAACACTCTAATGTGTGCTTAATGTGTGTGTTTTTGTTTCGGTTTGAAGTCATTTGGAAACATTTATAAATATATGTTGTGTGTGTAGTGTGGTCAAAATCAGCTTGCAATTTCATTAGAAAATTTGTTGTAAAAATACAATTTCAAAAATGCTCCTTGCGCGTCAACTGAGTGGGAAACCGATATCGGTTTTGGTTTGTAATTAGGTTGTGCTATGATGTTCTTCTGCTTCCGCTCCTGCTGAAAACCTCCGATCCGGGGTATCTGTGCGCAATTTGTGCTATGTGTCGACGTCTACGTCAGGCGTCCGCTTAGAGGCATCCTCGAGCGATCTATGCTATCAGCTCTCGACCGTCGTGGAGGACACGCTGTGACTAGTGGTAAGCAGATGCTCGGGAATGGGAATAGGCTGTGTGCGAGCCGGCTGCTTCTTCTGCAAAAGAAATCGAGTTATTAGAGGGCCACTCAGGAGTAAGCAAGAGTAGTAGACCAACCTTTCGGCGAAATGGGAAACAGCCCGCCTTGTCAGGTTCAGGCGCCGCGTTGATCTGCAAGTCCGGCGTGGGGCACTCCTCGGGACCAAAGACATTCAGCTCCCGAAAGCACTCGGTCTCCATCATCTCGTTCTGCCATGAAATGGACACGGAGCCAGTGTTGAATTTCGTATAGAAATTCGTGTCGGATTCGTCGATATTGACGCCCTTAACCGTCGAGAACTGTTCAATATCGAGCACATCTTTGGCGTAAACGGCGTGCGGCTGCGGATGATGGAAAAGCGATTAAAGTAGACGTTTCGAGCAGGCATTTCCAATATCACAGCGGCATGTATGCAAATGAGTCAACTCACGTCTGGCACAAAGGGTGGCTCCAGCATGCCAGCCTCCAGGCGACGCCAATTGAGCTGGGTGGCGTGGAAGAACGGGTGGGCCATCACATCCTGCCCGCCCATGCGTCCGTTGCGGCAGCCCAGGCGCTGCTTTATCGATTTAGCTAACAGCTGTTGGCACATTGATTTGGCTTCGTCGTTAAACTTGCTTGAATACTTTTCGGGATCCTCCTGTAAGGGCAGAAGAGTATTAGCTTTAATCGGAATACCGATGAATACTAATGGCTATGACCCCAACCTTAACGCGCCTGTCCACCTCCTCGCGCTTGACCTTCTCCTTGCGCATCCGGAACGGCGCCTGCCCCTCGATCATCTCGTACAGCAGGCAGCCAAAGCTGAACCAGTCCGGGGAGAAGGCGTACTTCTCGTTGTCGATGACCTCGGGGGCCATGTACCCTAATGGGATAAAGGGGGGGAAATAAAGGAGCTTAGCTGGAGGCATTTAAGTCAATCCGCTTTTGCGATTACTCACCCACTGTGCCCACCCGGCCGCGCACCATCTCGCCCTCCGGAATCTCGACGGCCAGTCCCAGGTCGGAGATACGGACATGGCCGTGATCGTCGAGCAGGATGTTCTCCGGCTTACAGTCTCGGTAGACGATGCCCTGCTTGTGCAGGTGCTGCAGGCCGCAGGCCACCTCGGCGGCGTAGAAGCGGGCACGCTCCAGTTCAAATCCCGGGTCGCCGCCCATGTTGTAAATGTGGAATTTCAAATCGCCGCCTGCAAAAGAAGAGCTCGTTGATTGTCTTCCTCCAACAATGACAGGTCCTGAGAGCCCCATTGGCTGCTGACTGAATTGACTGACTTGCTCTGGCTTTTGTGTTCAAATTCAATTAGGCCGTCGATTGACGAACGGACAGACTTCGGCATTGTGCCAGCCGACTGAATGCCAGGAATTTAATTAAAATTGCAAACTCAATCATCGCTGGGATTACACATGCATTTGTTATCATTTTAATGAATGCATGCAAATGCCGGACAGTCTGATAATTGGCAGCGAAGGACACCGAGCACTGAACACTGAACACTGGACACATGGAGTGGATTCCAGCGAATGGGAAAACGAAAACTAACAGGATTAACCGATAAAGAGTCCCAGCACTTAATTAACCCTAACTGGCTGGCCAGCGACAGCTGTATTGGCCCGCACTGAGATGCAGAGATGCAGGGTAACAGGATAACACCCACCATTCATTATGGTCAGCACCAGGCAGAGGGCATCCTTTGTCTCGTACGCGTAGGCCAGATTGACCACGAATGGCGAGTTGATTTTCTGCAGTATCTGCTTCTCGATTAACACCATCGACTCGCCCTTGCGCTTCTTGATGCGTTTTTTCTCCAGCTTTTTGCACGCGTACATTTTCCCAGTGGCCCGCACCTGTGAAAGGGAAAAGCGAAGGTGGGGAGTGTGAGAACGAGGTCAGGTGGCCACAGGTGGCGATTTTCCTCTTGGCTTACCTGACAGGCGCACACCTCGCCGAAACCGCCCTTTCCGAGCACCCGGTACATGCGAAACGTTTTATAGGTGATTGGCTGCGCCTCCAGCCACTTCCACTGCAAATATCTGGTGGGAAGAGAAAAACACGGAAAAGTATTAAGGGCTTTTCTTGGAATTTCCCTCTTTTTTCAGTTGAAAGTGGGTGGCATGAAAATGATCTCAGCTTATGCCAATAATATGCATTCTGACAGACTAAATGAAATAATTGCTTTCAGAGGAATAAGCTCTTGCGGAAACTATTCCTTGAATGGCAATATTACCCACCGGTGGAAGTACATAGAGCTCTCGAACTCCCGGAACGGCTCGCCGGCCAGGAACGCCTTAACCGCATTCACACACTGGGCAAAGATGTCCTTGCCGCCGCTGTTGAGTTTGTTACGCACTTGCGCAATGAGATCATCGTTGAGCACGTCCAGCACGAGTTCGTCGGGATATCCGCCCACATGGGGTCCACCCTTTCCGCCTCCTTCTCCCCCGCCGCCGATACCACCGCCCTTTTCCGCATCACCATGACCATCCAGGCTCTTGACGCCCTCGCCGTCGTCCTCGTCCTCCTGGTGGCCATTGCCGCTCCCATTCCCGGTGGCATCGTCGCCGTTGTGATTGCGCGTGTCCAGCTTCTTGTGATTAATGTCGTTGCTGTTGCTGTTGTTGATGTTGTTGCAGTTGTTGGCGGTGGTATTGTTGCAGTGTTCAGTCTCAGCTGTTTCAGTTGGATTGGCATTGCTGCTGTTGAGCAGCAGCTCCTCCTGCGTCTCGGCGTCCAGGGCGTCGCCACCGCTGCCGTTGCGCAGCTCCAGCTGGGCCTCGACGTCCAAGAAGCGCCGGCCGATGTCATGGCCAATGAATATGCGGTTCGAGATGTACTCGATCTCGTATCTGTAAGGCGTAAATTCATGTGTTAACCTATGAACTGAGGCTTAGAGTGCTCACTTCATCACTTACTTGACCACCTCATCCAGGAAGGTGATGTAGCGAAAGTAGACGGGCCGCTTGTTCTCGCAAAACAGGCGGAAGAGCTCACGACCAATGGGTTGCTGATCTATCACGTAGCCATAGCTTATGTCTGTAGAATTTAGATATAGTAAATACAGAGTATGCATTAAACACGCCTCTATATCTCACCTAATTTGTCTTTCAGGTTGATGCATTGCGATATGTGTGGGAATTGCAATATTTTGCGCCATTTTTTGCTCTTTCCCTTGTTGCTGTCGGAACCACCTGAAAAAGCAAAGAACAGTAATCAGTTAGACAGTCTCGAAGCAAACATTTATAATGAGCAAATAAAGACTGGGGATTTAATAGTTCAATCGGAAGCCGCAACACTCAATTGGCATTTTGTGAATAACAATTCGAATGGAATTTCTAATTCTCATCTCCGGAGCAAACACTCTGATTTTCCCAGCCACTCGAGTGCAAAGGTAAAGTGAGCGCTCTGCATTTACTTGTGTATAAAACAGGGGCTGTGGACGTGATTGCACTGATTGCTACTCCGCATCCCCATCCCCCCATTCAAAAACCCAACTCCGAACCCATCGCCAAGCTGTCCTTCTTCTGTCTGGCCTGGTCTAACGTTATGCCGGCAATACTGTTTTATTTGCACTAGCACCGAGCCATAAAAACAATATTTTCAATGCGAAATGCATAAAATGCATCCACATAAACAAGACAAATAAACTGAATTGAGTGCATTCTCTGTTCTCGTCTGTTGAGTTGATTCGTGACTCGTGACACTTGGAATGAATCAGTTTATGTGGCGAGAGATCTCTCGGACACCATACAGAGGGTGTATGGTTTATACCCCTAATTCCGTCACCGAATTCAAGTCAGCAATCAGCCCAGCCCGTCTCATTTGTTGTGCACAGATGACCACACAAAGGCCTCATTACACCGAATAAATCACTATATCAGGCGTTTCTCTCAGTGCCCCGGCCAGTCGATAATAGTGGGGCCATAAAATCTAACAAGAAAATTAAGTGGACGGCCAGGCATCTGGCGAGGAATGGAGTCCGGTGAGAGGGCATAAATGTCAGAAGCAGTCAAAATCAAGTGCAAAATGTAGGCGAGTTGGCAACAATGTTCGAGCGGAAGCGGAAGAGCGGGTGAAACAGCAACAAAGCCGGTCGAGGAAAATGGGTTAATATGCCCATCCACACAGTCGAGTTCAAGGAAATAGTTTAACCTGTTCCATCCATTAATAATTTATTGTAATCTCTTATAAGCTTTATGAAGGATATAGGAATTTAATATTAAATTCAATTGCCTTTACAAAGGTATTTTAGGGAATGGCTAGTTAATCTTGGCAAAACTATTTAACCACCCTCTGATGTGCCCTGAAAAGTATGCTATATGTTGCTCAAAGGAGCACACTGCCATTTACTACAAAGTAGGCGTGTTTCTGGCGTAAAAGCAACCTTGTAATTTGGACTGCTTCAGTTGCTGCAAGCACTCACATTCGTTCTGAGGGGCTTTGAACGCCAAATGCCAAATGCACACACAGACTTGTCTGGCCACAGAGCATTAGCCACTTATTTATGTTGCCAACTGGCAGCTTTTCAGTCTGCTGCCAAAAGTTTAGCCCGGCTTAAAGTTCCTCCGACGCAGGATCTCGCAGTGCGTGAGCATTTAATTTAGTCTCAGTGCAATTATGCAAAAATAAACTCACAAACTTTGAAGGGCAGCAGCCGCGGCAGCAGTCGTAATTTCCATACAGCAGGAAGAGCCACCTGAAGAGGGATGAGGCTGCTCTGCGCTTAGTTAAATGAAATTACCGGCGAAAAGTTTAGGAAAAGGGAAAAGTTAACCCAAAGCTGGAGAGTGGTACTGCTGGTCTGCGAAACGTTCAAGGGGCTTACTGAAGTTTTCCAAGTAACAATTAGCTGACAGACCCGGGCACTGAAGCAAATATGAAATGTGTGGGCCAAGGGATTATGGGATTATAATGCCAAGTCTTCGATAAATTCAGTTTATTAAATTCAAAGTTGCTAAGAGGAGGTAATGTGACTATTGGAAAGCTATTTTCTAATAAACTCTGCGTCATTAGTGCTCTTTAAAAGTGAACTTTCTTGAACTGGCCATCTTCTCGTCTTCTAGACGCCGAAAAAGTTTTCTAAAGTTTCTGCAATTATTTGGCGAGGCGTAAAAACAGAAACAACGCCGCATTTCAATGAATTACGAAACTTGTGCGAGGACGAGCGAAAAGTCAAGAAAACATTTTCAAAACAAATAAATCGCATTATGTGAGCGGTTTTCCCTTCAGTTCAGTTCAGTTCGCTGATGTGCTTCATGTGGATGTGCCAAAGAAAAACAAAAGTAATTGAAGGTGGCAGGGAGGAGGGCGAAGGAAAAGTGCTATAAAAACTTATTAATGAAGCCATCGCAAGGCTAATTTGCGGTTGATGGCTTTTCTAATTAAAACCAATCAATAAGAAAAATAGCGTCCCCATCTTGGGCTTGGGCTCCACGTACTTCACCCTTGCAGCAGTCAAGCGGTTACAAATGCAATTTGTCAGCCGGAGCGACTGACAACTGCAATGGCCGCAATGTTGCTGGCTAATTGAGTGCTCGGACGCAAAAACCCAGTACAAGGATGTAAGGACAAGGATAAGGAGTCATCACTGGAGGATGGCGAGTCCAGAGTCCTTCTTATTTACGACTCAACAAGTTGACACTAGATTACGAAGGGCCATTCCACATCTCAGAGTCCGGGGCGGAATAAAAAGAAATTACAATTTACATTAAACGCTCTCTGATTTATCGATTCGCATTAAAAGTTTTTCGGTCGAAAACTTTTATGGACCTCGGAAAACCCTGCGCCACATCGTTATGATCAATTTTCCCGCTGGTCGCCAAGAAGTATGTGACACAATTTATAAGTGTCAAGTTGTCTCCGCTCTTTCGTTTTAGTGTAATTTGATGTAATTTTTCACTGGCCAAGGAAAACCAGGAGGCGGCCACCGACTGTTAGCTGCAATTATTTATGGCCGCTCTCCATTTTGGCCAAGTCGCCAAGTCGTGGTCCAAGGTTAAGTGCGTGCTAATAAGCTCACGGCCAAGGCCCTCGGGGAGCCGTCTCAGAAGGCTTTCGATCGACAGGGGAAATCTATTAGGAGGCGGTGAGGTCGGGCTGAAACCCAAGAAATGGCCATGGGAATTGACTGCTGGGGAATGGCGAAGGTTGGAAAATATTAAAGCTTAAAAACTTATGCACGCAACAAAAAATAAGGGTGGAAGGCCTAGGCAAGGTAATCTATCTATATAAAACTTTCTTCAAATTTAAGGAATCAATGTAGACCTGAAGTTAGTAAAACCATCAAAATCATTTAGCAAATATCCTTAATGCTTAGTGATACCTCAAATATGATTGTAGAAAAGATAATTAAGGTAAGTCACAATCCATCAATTATATTATTCTTATATTTATTTCATTTTAATTTATTAAGTGAATTAGATCATATCTTTGTTGAAGAATACTTTGTAAAAAAAACTGGTACAAGTATACCATTTAAATAATCTGTTTAAAACATGTGTACGAAAATTCCAGCCACTGATAAATCTCAAAAGGCCCGATGTATGGATAATCCTGCTGTTCAACCCCACTTAACCTCTCGTTTGTCTCCTTTTTGCGCTGTCTGGGTTTTGATTGTTTCAAGTTCAGCGTCACTGCGGGCACAAAACAAAAAAGCAGTGACAGCACACAAAACATGTATTAAAGCAGCGGACACAATGTTCAACAGCAGTTTTTACACATCTCGCTAATGCAAAACAAACAGACAGAAAGCAGCCAGTAGAAATAACAACGTCAGGCGAATCGGGGAGCGTTATGCCGCCGATTTACCTACAGCGAAGCGCACATTAAATTAATTATTACTGTTAAAAAACCATAAAAATACAAAATAACAATAAAAAGCCGTAAAAGTTACGCCGCCGGCAATCGAAAAAGTTGATTGGCAGACCTCTCTTCCGCCCCCCAACCCACCGAGTGGGTGGTGGGTGGGTTGCTGTTCCAGTGGGTGGGTGGCCACCCAGGAGGTGGAGTCGAAAAAGCGAGGGAAATAAAAGCAGACGCTGCCACATGAAATGCATGTAAATGGGCCTTTGATTGGCAAAGGCTTTTAATTGCGGGCTGCAACCCAGGACCGCCAGCAGAATGCGATACGCGATATGGAATGTGCAATACGCGGTGCCCACACCCCCAAGGTCGAAGGTCAGGCGGAAAAGCCACGCACGGAATGCACAAAATGGCACTTTGCACACCCGCAGCCAACTAATTAAATGCGTGATAAAATAATTACACCAGGTATACCTTCACACCCAACTGAAAATCGATCTCAAAAGAAAAGCAGCCAAATTCAGAAGCAATTAATGAACAGACTGGCTATTAAGTGCAATTTATTACAGCAATAGAGGAAACCGAAACCAGAAATGCCCGATAAAGGAAATGGGAGTGTGGTAAATTAATTTACTCTAACCCATTAATAAAATTCAGCACAAAGTTAATCAATAAGAAAAACAATTGCTAACATTTATTCAAGGAAATAATATACCCAAAGTCAAAACGAATCCAAAATACTCTACTGGTCTCTTCTCAATCATAACTATCTATGAACAATTTTCACTTTATTTAAGGTGGTTTGGTTTATTTTTTTCTCTGTACCTTACTTACTCATGTGCTTCCAGTTTAAAAGTCGAAACACCCATCGAGAAACTCAAATATTTTCATTAAAATTCCGAGCACACGCGAATAAAAACGAAATGTGTGGCTATACAAATCGCATCATCGGAATTCTCACTCAAGAGGGAGATAAAAAGAATTACTCTTTTATTTTTCGTATGCTTTTCCAGCTGCTGGGCAATAGTTAAATTAGTCTGGCAGGGCCATAAAACAACGGAGACGTTATAAAGGATTTTATTGCCTAGCATTATTAATTTGTTTTATTTCAGAGTGGTCCTGGCCATCAACTGGAAACCTGGGACACAATTTGCTGCTTCGTTTGTCTTTCAGTCTCCTCTCCAGATCTTCAGACTCTCAAGCTGCTCCTCGGCAGACACGAAAATTGGCGCCCTTTGTGGCCGTTTTTTAATGGCCTCGTCGGAGTAGCAGAAAACAGTTAACTTGGTGGGCCAAACTATAAAGGAAAGTTGATTCATTGGCGCCGTCATTAGACCTTCTTAAGTCCCCAAAGAGCCCGCTTCAAATGACCCGAGAAATGGTTTTAAGC